AGTTGCTCGACCTCTCTCTCTCTTTCTCTCTCTGCTGAATCGAATTCGATGGGAGAACGGAATACGCGCAGATGTCGCGGGTAAAAACGCGAGTCGAAAGCGCGGAAAAGAGCGAAGGTCGAAGAATGAAGCGAAAGGGAGAAGAAGCGGAGAAGGAAATGGAACGGAAACTGGTCCACGAATTAACGCTTCCTTCTCCCTCCTTCGAGATCCCATCCGTTGGGCATCGGTTAACGAGGGATCGGTCGATGGCCCGAATAAGGAGAGGGACGACACCGGTGTCATAAAGATTCCCCGCCGCTCGAATTGAGCCGTCCTGGGTCCCGTGGTTCCGCGTTCGATCACGATTGACAGTTTGGTAAAAAGACTCTCTCCCTGTCGTATGCCGCGTGTAACGATACCCCCTCGAAGATGTACGATTTCGGTTCCCGGAACCGCGCCTCTAATTTGCTCTCCTGTCGTCGAAATGCGGCCAAGAGTGGCCCTCGAATCGTTTCGAGTGGTTTCGTTTCGAGAATTCGAAGAGCGGAATTTCGAGAGAAGGATCTTAAATACGTACATCGGCACGAAACAGGGGAAAGCCTGTAGCCTTTTTTCTTTTCTTTTTTCTTTTTTCTTTTATTTTCGCTATAATTATGACGGAGCAATGTACAATTATTAAATAAGACGTCCGCCGTACGTTTCTTGCGACGATATTTGCGACGAGATGACAAGTCCGACAAGATCATAAATTATTAATAAACCAATTTCTTATCCGCTATCTTGACGTACGGTTTATAAGAGACAAAATTGTCGTCCATAATTTAACATATTAATCGAGAGGGAAAGGATCGAAAAACGGATCTTTCCGGGGAGGAGAACGATCCCCACGATCGGATTCCAAATAATTCGCGCGATACGAATTTCGAAGGTGGATGGAATCCTTATAAATCGTGAGATACAGGTTCGTTCTGGCCGATGCATTGAGAAGAAGGTACACTCGGTGCTCTCTCTCTCTCTCTCTGTCTCTTTCTCTTTTCCCTCGAAGGTCCATTCACCGTGCCGGTTAATTTGGTCAGCCTCGATTAGTCCCGAACGACTTCCAGTGGGCAGCGAACCGATTTATCCCGCAGCTACGCGCGCAACGTTAATGAAGACGGTTGGGCCGTTCAGACACGTACCTGGCTGGATCACCTTTGCTCCACGGGGTAAAAAGAGGCCCGCGTTTTGCATAATCCGCTCGAGCGATCAATAATTGCCGCGTTCGAAATGTGCGTACACGCGAATGGACTTGAGGTTTCTCCTCTCTCTCTCTCTCTCTTTCAGGCTCAATTGTCCTCGAATCAACGTATATTTCCCCGAGGGATAAGTTTCAACTTTGCGTTTGGAGGAAAGGAGAGAGTAATTCGAGAGAGTCGGGGTAGATAGATCGATCGCGTGTCGCCTCGGACGGATTAATCCACCGTGTCAAAAATTGCTCTATAAACACCCTATCTCCGGTAATGTCTACATCTGGCTGTTAACCTAATCTCGGGCGCGAGTCGCTCGGCCGTGGCGGTGTACGGAGAGGCGATCGTAATAAAAAGAAACCGTGTATAATATATAATGGGCCTATCTTCGTAATAACTCGTAGTTACTTCGGCCACGGTAGATCTTGCCGATAATTCCAAAGACAGGCATAAGCCGGCCTGTTGCTGGGAGCACGGCTCACCTGTGATCCCCTCCGCTGGGAAGGGCAGGATCCGACGACTAATTTATTCCTCGTGCTCGACCCCGAAACTCCTCCGTCTTCTATATATATATATATATATATATATATAATATGGCAATATTCCCGCGACGATTCTAATCTACCGATGGTCGATAAAAGAGTTGCGAACCGGCGCGCGGGAAATTCAAACGTCAAGGGGATAAAATCGCCCAGAGGGTAAAACGGATTTCTTCTTAACTTTGTGCACGCGCCTACGTGTTCCTTTCCTACGTGTTGCGTAATA